CTGGAATCCATTCCACAACCCCCTCCTTCCGCATCCAACCCCTGCTTGGCCTTTTAGCTCTATATAGGCCGAGATCCATTTTTATCCGCTTGTCTCCCTTTGAGGGAGTGAAGGAGCCCGAGATGAGAGAGGAAGGATAGCCTGGAGGATGGAGGATTGTAACACGTCAACGGACTTGGAACAATTCAGTGGAAGAGAAGAGAAGAGAAAGAGAAGAGAAGAAATGGAATGAATGTGTGAGGAGGAGGAGGGAAGGTATATAACACCTTGGGGCAATCCTTCCACGCGTCTGCTCCACCTCATCCGCATCCAGGCATCCCCTCTGCACGGCTCATCCAGGACACTCTCCCCCCTACTCTTTCCCTCCCCTCCTCTCCCCCCCCCCCTCCTCCCCCCCAACCAGGACACTCTACTCCTCGTTACGAGACATAGACTTCATCGACCAGACTCCGCATTTTGGTAAAAGGAGTGTCTTGGAGGATGGTGATCTCTCTCCTCTCTGGTCATGGAATGGATGGAATCGTCGCATCGGACAGGAGACGTGAGGCACTTTGAAAGCCTCCGTTTCAAGATGAGAAGAAAGAGAGAGAGGAGAAAAAAAAAAGAGGAAGACGGAGGGCTGAAGTCGAACCCCTCATATACGGCCGGAGGGGGATTGAAGAAGAAGCCACGTTCCTTCATGCCCGAGCAGATGAAAAACTGCCTAGGGTCATCATCCAGCCTTTGATCAACGTCCGAGATTTGTTCAGCTGCAAGAACACAGTGCTCTGGCTTCCTCTTCCTTCCCTCTACTCTAAAGATATTTTTTTTTGGCACCGACGCCAAAGTTGAAAGCATTTTTTTTATTCCTTTCCTCTGTCTTCCATATGAAGGCAAGAGGAGGGCGGACTTTTTGACAGGCAGGCAAGGTATAGTGCTGGAGGGAATGAGGGCACCCTGCCGTGCAAGACAGACATCCGAGGAATTCGTCATATTATTGTATTAGGCCCTCAGGTGGGTTTCGCTCGCCCAGGAGGGATACAAACGAAAGAGGAAGCGAGAGGAAAAACCATGTCTCCCGGATTTCCAGCGATTTTCGGGGAACAAACCCCTCCAATAAGTACGTGAGAGGTCTGACACTTCCGTCGAGTCGCACACGGCCTGGAGAAGTCGTGTAAGTTCAGTCACGCTCTCCTTGTCCTTTCTAATAGGATGGAAACATATTTTTTTTTTCCGTGGACCCTCATTTCATTATCGTGTGGGCGAGGGATCTTTGCACACAATTCCAGGTAATGACCCGGACGCGAATAATTCCATCATTCATTGTGGGATACGGTATTCCGTCCATGGGAAAGCAATAATCCCCTTTCCTCGTTTTCATTTAACCCTTCGGGGGCAGGATGGGAAGGAAGATTCCGTGCATAGTTGAAGAGAATGCAGGCAATCTAGCGAGGATGGACACGTGCCGAGTTGGGGCTAATAGACTTGAGTTGTCAATGACGAGAATCTCTATTATAAGGCGCGTTTCGGCCGAGCCTTAATTGTGGTCTTTTGTGAGAGGGAACATCATGCCGAGTCATATCCCACTTGCTCCATCATCCTACTCACTTAACCTTCCTCTTTTCTCCCTCCATTCTTCTCCCCCTTGTTGCATACAAGGCTTTTCCCCTCCACCCTCCTTCCAAGGAGGAAAACCGGTTTCGGGTACTGTTTTCCAAGTACTCGGGGAAGGGAAGAGTTGTCTGCCAATAAATCAGGAGGTGATCTAACGGGACAAATTAAAGTGAGAGAAGGTTTTCATTTGGAAGGTGCCGGAGTGTGGCATTATCCGACATCAATCAGCTTCAACAACCATGCTTTCTCCTCTCCCCTGGCCGAGGGTGCTGCAACAACCCCCATCAGAGTTCTTCTTCTCAACTCCCTTCAGAATCCTTCCTCTTAACCTCCTTCATCCACTCCGACATTCAGCTCAAAGGCTGAAGGCAGGTTGGAAATTATGGAAACCCTTCCTCCCTTCATTCCAATAAAACTTGACCGATACCAACAAAAACGTTTCTCTAGGAATCTGAATTTAATATTTAAAAGTTAAAGGGGTGGCGCTATCCTCTTTTTAATAGACGGATTTGGTGTACCTGTGAGAAATTTAGCGCGGAGGGTCGCAACTACATAAGCCGACCGTCGCTTCGCTTTTGTATTATCATATTCTTGTCTTCTCGCACTTAGGATAATACTGCAGAACCTGAATGTTGAAGGTATTATAGGAAGAGGAGGGGATTTTTGTAGTCCTCTGTTGGAAGCATGATGGGGCCGGTCTCTGAGTAAATGACTATGCCAAGAGAGAGAGAGAGAAGAGAGCAGAGAGGAGAGAGCTTTGAGCGAACGTGACTTTGGCCTCGGGCAAATATCTCCTTCCTTCTTTCCAAAGACTCTCTCGACCTCACCTTTGCATCTTTCTCACGAGAGAGAGGGAAGAGACCCCTCCCAAACACACTCATCCTCCACGTTTCCCCTCGTGAATCTACGGAAGATCTTCGTCACAGTGACGTCATTCTAGAGGGGGATTTGGGCTGGATTTAAATCAACGCATGAGTCAACAGTAAATAACAATGAGCTACGGCTCGTCTCAACAGCGAACCGGTCCTTTTCTCCAGTACAAGGATGCATTCCTACGTCAGTCGAAATCAAGCACTATTAATATAAATTTAATAGTTAAGATATTTCCTCGAGGAAGTTCAATTAACTGGGACAAAATTTCCTACCAATATAATAGCATCCTCCAGGTTAGTTTGTTTCCGTAGGAGGTGTGAATGCACTTAACCGGCAGCGAAGGTAATGCTGGATAAACGGGAAACGAGTAGCATGAATGAATGAGTGAATGAAGGGAGTAAAGGAAGGAAGGACGTAGAGATAGTATCCGATATTCATTAGCGGGAGGGAAGGTTCCTCCATAATTCATGCCACGCAATGGCCATGCAATGCATTGGGCATTGGAAAAAACCCTCCCGTTCAAGTATTCCCCCCATGCACTCGTTCGTCTCCGTGTATTCACATGCAGCATCCCCGCATTCAAATTCAGTGTCTCCTGTCCATTGCTATGCTTCCCTTCCAGCCTCATTATGCAGCCGCGTTAATTGCTCGCCGAGAAAACCAAAATCCAGAAGCCGAGCGAGGATAATTCCCAGTTTCCTTTCCCGTTTGTGGTCAGGTTCAACGCACTTTTCCACCTGTCTTTCTTCGCCTTTTTCGGTTTTTTTTTTTCTTTCTCTCTTTTCTTCCTCTCCGCCTTCCCGATACTTAGACTCAAAAAAACCTCAGTCAATGCGATGGATGAACCTAATGCATTTCCCTTCCGTTATGACTTTCCTCTGTCTCTCTCTGCAGTAGGATAGATGTCCGATGTCCTGCGGTCCTTCCCTGTTGCACGGACACAGTCGATGGAAGAAGAAAAGAGAAGGACAATGCGAACAATGGACCTTCGAAGAATCGCCGAACCGATAGGAAAGAAAGAAAGAAAGAAAAGAAAGAGATAGGTATCAGAGGGGGGAGATACGATTATTGGGAACTTTCTCCATGCCGAGGAGGATTTATTGCAGTGGACATTGACAATGTACAGGGTACAGGTACGTTGCTGGTGGAACATGCAACCGGGCCTGTACAGGGCCTGGAGGGAGAATGGGATTCCAACAGGGCCAGCAGGCACGTGCATGAAAAGAATTCCTTGCATGATCACCATCACCCCAACATGCATCCACTCACTGCTCCTTAGATCCTAATACTCACCTGATTAAAGAGAGAGAGACAGAGAGTGAGGAGAAATGGAGTCACACCATCATCACAGCTCACCACATCATCACACCAGCACGCACAAGTACATTACACCTTCTATGTCCCACCTGATTGGGAGAGAAAGAAGGTTGGTGTTTGTCACATTATCGTCACATCTCACCTGCATCATTGCCGCCATTACAACCCCATACGCACCTGATGTGAGAGAGAGAGACAGAGAGAGGAAGAAGACGGATCTCGGATCTCACATCTTCATCATCACACCTCACCACATGATCATCATCACCACAGAGCACTTGATCACTTCCTCCCCATCACTTCAGCACCTGGAATATCTTGGGAGAGCGCGAGGATCAAATGGGACGCAGGGTCTCTGGAAGTCTCAGACTGGGCTTGGAAATGTGTTCACACTTACATCCATTCCCTTCTAGTCCTCTTTTCTTCATTCCATGCTTCAACTTAGTTTCAAATCACTCTCGTTTTAGGAAATGGAAATCCAAACATAGAACGGTCAGGAATATCAAAGAAAGGAGACAAATTCATGCTAAAAGGAGTCCTGCTTGAGGAATATCTAGTTGATATTCCAAACCAAAAGTTCATTCCAAGCAGAATTATTTCTCCTTTTTCCTCTTCCATTTCGGTCATATCCGGTCACAAGGTGAAAATGCTTAAGGTTGTAACTTATCAGGTCTGATTGAAAGTTGTTGGAATACCATGCGAATTCATCAAGTTTCGATTATAATTTAAAAATGTATAGTGGCCAAGCTGAAAAGGTCTGGAATGTATTGAGATAGGACCAGGTTATAAAATAATATTTTTCCACAAGAAATGACCAGTTAGAATGGAAAGTTTTCGAAATGCCATGAAAAAAAGAACAAACTCAAAGAAAATCTCTCTGATGCCATTTGAGAGGTACATGTTTCAAGGAAATTTTTTTTTCGAATATACGGAATAAACGATGATGGGAGAAAGTACCAATGCAGAAGGAAGGAAGCATTTTTGTTTTATTATGCCTAACAGATCATCTTTGTCCCAATACATCTGGAGCATATAAGAAAAAACTTGGCACGGCTGAATTCACGAACCCGAGTCATGAATAAATAATAATTTTTCCATTTCTGCACTTTTTTTCATCATCGTCTTCTTCAGTTAGTCACCTATGTTACATAAGATCCAATCACTACACGGGGCTCGAGAAATGAGAGACAAGGGGAAAGAGCAAAAGGGAGATGGGGGGGGGGGGGGGAAAAACATGGATAGCAGAAATAAAAAAAAGAACGTCTAAGGATTCCTCCAACATATGGGAACCACTTGTATGTATATACATGCAAAAATGAAAGAAGGGGATCAGGAATAAACCGACTAGTATCCTCGATTGGATAACAAATATCCTTCACTTCAATCATTATTATTTTTCCGTGAAATTAACTGGAAAGGAATGCTTGTAGTTGTACGTAGGATGCACAAACAACGGTGAGGAGGAAGGAAAGGGTTTTTTGCCCTGCATGGAGACACAGTGCAGTGAGGAATGTTTTCTTTTGAGCATCTTCACTTCACTTCATGTCGAGTACTCCATCCATGATTCCTCAACTTCCTCTGCCCCGAGAATAAAAGAGAAACAAGTCCTCAGTTATCCCTTGTTTTACGAAGATCAACTCAAGTCTAAAATGTGCCAACTACACTGCGAATAATGGTATCTCTATGTTGACGAGGCTTTTACGCCAAAAAAAGGAGAAAAAAGGAAATGCAATGATGGAGGAAGCTGAGGTATCACGTCAGGATGACAGGCGAATCGAAAGAAGGAGGTGAGAATAAGAAAACGAAATCAGACATGAAAACGGACAGAAAGAAGAAAGGGATGGAATCCTAAACTAAAATATCACGATGGGGAATGCTTTTCGTGGATACTGATGCCGTCTTCTGACTGGCCTGAATTCATAAGATCCATCTGCACTGCCTGTCTTCCTTCTGTCTGGTGTGCAGCTGGATTTATACCTTGCTCAAACATTCACAACACCAGGGAAAAATTATTGTCACTGGTTTTTATATCGTGTAGAAATGACGGGGAAACGAGATTTTCGGAGCCATAGAAAGACCTCCAAGAAAAAATCTCTCATGCTTTTTTTCTTCGTCTTCTCTCTCTTTCTGAGGTATTTCATGTTGTTTTGGCACATTCAGAGACGCACAAGGGATGAAAAGGATAGACAGAGAGAGAGAGAGAGAGAGAGGATCACATGTGGAAGAATAAAACGGGAAAAAGTCCTCTTTTTTTTTTCTTAGTGAGAGACTAAGGAGCTTTGACAAGTGTGAGGTGGTAAGGGCTGAGAGGGGGAGAGCATGGGTGGACTCAAGGGACCGGATGGGGAGGGGTGGTGAGGATACGGGGTAGCCTCTAAACCCGGAGGTAACCCATGGGGTAACCCGTCGGGTGTGCTCATACCTCCAGGGTTCCCAGCCGGGTTCCCACCCACAGGTGGGGTCATTCGTTTCTCCTTCTGCCGCCGGTTACAAAACCACACGCGGACCACTTCCTTCTCCAGCTGAAGCGACTCCGCCAGGGCGCTGATCTCTTGCGCTGACGGTTTCGGCTGCTTCACAAAGTGCTGCTCCAATGCCCCTACAGTATACAACCAAATGCAACGTTCATCATAATGGCTATACTGTTTTACGGCAGAAATGAAAAAAAAAAAATTACCTGCCGCGCATGCTAACCAGCTGGGTGGAATCCACAGCTAGTCACAACTTAAACATCGTATTTATGAATTGAAACTTTTATTAACTATTAAAAAACCTTCATGTCATAGGCTTTGAAATATAGTGTGTCAGTTTAAGAAAAACCTTTAAAAAAAAAACTTATGGCTAAACTCATTCATTGAGCAAAATATCGCCTTTCTTTTGGACAGTTGCAATGTCTTGAATTATCATCCCCTTTTCTGCTTTGCTTTTAATAGGTCTATATCATACTTGCACCATCTACTTGTGATCGAGAATGTCAAGAAACGATCGCGCGTATGTCAAGATCACAATAGCCTGACACCAATGAGGAAAAAGATTAACATAAAAAAGCATGGATATGAAACAACTTCTAAAGTGCCAATTATACAAATGCAGTTGACTTTGTGGAGACGAATTGAATAGGGTATGTATTCCTCTCGAATCACGTGAATGCAACAACGAATAAAGAACGAAGAAAAGGACTGAAAAATGGACCCGGCTAGAGACATAGCCGTTACTCAGGCGGAGGGGGAGAGGAGAGGGGAGGAAAATGAAACAACGAGGCGCGAATGACTTTTTTCCAAGATCGATCCAAGGCGGTGCGTGATTGGATTGTGAATGAGGGGGAGAATCAAGGAGCTGAGTCAAGCCCATCTACCACTAAACCCCACTACGCCATTACTGTACTCTAGAGGAAGGCAAGCCTCAGCTCTCGAGACGCAAAAAAAGGGAAAAGAAAAGAAATACCTCAGAATCCGCAACAGGTTTCTCGAGTCGATCCCAAGGAGAGTTAGCTAAACCTTAAATCCCACAAATTTCTCGATTCCCTAGTTATAGCCCTGAAAGTTGGTCCACTTCTACATCCTCGACAACCTCAACTTCAACTCTCTTGACCTATCGCGAAGTTAACCTTCTGAATTTTCTAAAAGTCAGTCATCTGAACACCCTGAACCACCATAAGTCTCTCATTCTCCATCACGGACTGAATCCCCTGCAGCTGTCAACCTTCACGCAGATCTTTCGTGGCCGTCTGTGTCAACTAGAAGAAGGGCGAACACAACGTTGTTCTCGAAGAAAAGTATGTCATCGGGCGCTATTAAACAATGGCCATGGAGACAATGGGAAAAAGGCCTCGGAGCTGATGGTGAGTAACGCCGAACAAGGACGGAATCAATCTTTGAAAAGATGTGGGCAATCTCTCTACATTTGGCTGCTATCCAGACTGCTGAGGCTTGCTGCATCTCGAAAGTAGATCGTCTACGAAGGTCCCTTCGGATCCCGTCGCAGAAACCATCTCACGATCCCGGTTGGGATGATCCCTTAAACTTCAACGGGATTTCCAGCAAAGGAAGGGGCGAAAACCCAGAGCCTAAATGACACACAAGTCAGCGATGCAGATGGATCCTGCATGAGAAACACCTGCACTCGGGAGGGTAACCCGAGAACCCTGTATATGTATGTACATGTACGGCTTCTTCTGCTCCTTCTTTTCTCCGTCAAATATTTGCCGTTCGGACTGCCAGGTCGAGAAGGAAAGGGAACGTGTGGATTCCGATGGCCAGCGGGCATCGTTATCCGTTTTGGCATCGGCCGAAAGAGCATTCCTCACTGTCCATATGAGGATCTTGGAGCTGGATCTGGTCTTCCACGTTCGACTTAAGAAGATGCACGTATTCCCTTTCCTCATCTGCTCCGATGATCGAGACTTTTTTTCCGTCGTGCCACTCCCGAAGCTCCGTCGTGCGTATACCTTACCTTCTTCTCAAATCCATTCCTTTCCCACCCATTTCCAACGTCGCTTTGCAGTGAAAAAAAAAACCGCATGGAATTCCTTCTACCCAGGTGAGTCAGCTAGTCGGATAAACCAACTCCTGTACCGTTCGATATGCCCTTCCCGAATTCCATCAGAGGAAGAGGGTCTCCGGAACGCGAACTGAAGGAGAGGTATATTCCATGGGAATGAGATGAGTGGATCGAAACGAAAGGGATCTGAGGGTAATAAATAGGGGAAGGGATCGTGGCGCGTGGATGTTCCGGCCCCCTGCCCAAGATACGAGATTCCTTGCATGCCTCCATGGAAGACAGACCTCTCACATGCCTATGCCCTATCGGCTTACCCTTGGACCTAAATTATCCACTCTCTCATTCATTTACGAGCGCCTCTACACACCAACCGGGGACCTGCTTCCTCTTAGGAAAAAATACCATCACTGTGCCGTCACGACAATGACGACATAAAAGAAACCGCCGAATGTGGCCCACTGATGCCTTCAGTAGATGCAAACGCAGCACGTGGCGAGCTGTTTGTCCTCTTTCTCTCAGATTCCAACGAGCAGATCCAAATCATTCGACGACAAATTTTGAATCTGAAAGGTGGAATTCAAAAACAGGAATCGGTCGCGCGAACTCCGTTAGGAGGCAGAACCGCGGTGGTGGAAAATGCATATTATAAAATGGTAACCCTCTGGCGACATCGTTGTTACCCTAAGTATTGGATGTCCAAGTGATCTTCATGCACAGTGTTTCCCTCTGCATTTCATCCGAAACAGAGCAGAGTACAGCATCCTCATAATCTCCGATTCGGGGTTTCATGGATCAAGGGAGTTTCATTCTTCTGCCCTATCACCTGAGGCTATTCTGTCGAGCTTTGCCTTTCAGTCACGCGTCGGCCGAGTCTTTGCATTACATTTTTTTGGAAGGCCTCAGCTACTCCTTACATCCATGCAGAAAAGCCTGACAATTTCAGAAAACAATGCATTCTTCTGTGGATTCTTATCTCTCAATTTCTCCACCGCCCTTAACCAGAACTATGTCAGAGTGAGTTGAAGAAATTCTCACAGCTTTCAAACTTCCTGCAAATTCATCTAGCACTGGCAAAGTCTTTTTCGATTTCTCCAGTACTGCAGTCATGACATATTTCTGAGCACATGTATTCGTTAACGATGACAGGGTGGCATTCAAAGTTTAAGTGAGCGTAAACGCGCCGTTGAAATTTCTTGCCCTCGGTTCATAAGTCTTGTGAATGGCACACCCGTGGCCTAGCCTGGAGACATAAGCTCATCTGGCTTAGCCAATCTCGCATACTGACTCTTGCTCAGAGCAAAGTAGGGGCTGTATCGTTTTATGTAGGTAGTATCTCGTATGGAGCTTTCAAGTACACGAAGATTCTGAGGGAGTAGGAGACTCATATTTCTTCCTTGGGATTTTAGATTATTTGAGTTTTCTCTCAAAAGTCGATGACAACATCTACGTCATCACCGTCGTCACATATATATATTATAATATATACATAGATATATTATCATTTCATTTCAACGAAGATTGTCAGGCTTTCGCTGTAAAAAATAAATAAATAATAATAAGTGGCACCACTTTCTATTTTTTCTCCCCTAATACACGTTTTGTATAGATACTTATTATACGGACCTGTAGGATGTAGGGCAATGCTATATGGAGCAAAAAAAGTGAGTTTCAACTTCGACGGTTATTTCTTGAAACTTTTTCTAATTGTCTGCGTAGGCATCAATATCGATTTGGACTCAAAATCTCCTCTGGCCTTAACGATAAGTAGCATCTGTCTGTGATTATAGTATCTTCAAGTGCTCGTCACTAATCAGAATTTAATAAATAAATCATTTGTTCGCCTCATTTTCGGGTACGACTGTGGTCAGGAATCATATGATACAAAAGTAAGAAATACGTGTGCATTCGTGCGTGACTTCCGGAGACTTTTCCTCACTAGTGAGGCAAATTGTCCTTTCCGCAGGATCAGAACTTGAAAATAAAAATCAAGAACGTAAGGGCATGGAGACTTCTGACAAATTAGACACTTCATTCGCATTTGAGAAATCGAATTAACTCCTTCCTAATTCTCCATATCTTAAAGTTCCTGCTTGAATGAAAATAAGAGCATAAACAAAAATTTGTTGGAAACGCCTATCGTTTGGATGGGAAAAAGAATGTGAAAATTGGACCTGGTTTTACGGAACTAAGGGATTTAACTGCGCTCAGAAGGTTTAACTTATTTAAATAAATAAAAAAAACCTATATCCCAATGTTACTTAATTGCTGCTGGTTTATGTGGTCAATATCTGAAAGGAAATAACAAAATCAAAGTCTAGTAAAAAGAGAAGAGTGTGAATCCCTCCAGATGAACAGATCCACGGGAGTTTCAACTGCAGATATTCCATGTCATATCAAAAGGAAATGTTCAAAAGTCTTTGGCTCGTGACTCTACAGAGTATTCTTTAAATATATTGACACTCGAGTACTATGGGAGATGAATGAGCTTCATGAAGTGACGACTTACTCTTACGAGCTGCTATGCAATTCTAACTGCGGTGAAAAACGAGAGGACTCATGAGGAAGGTATAACCAACAACTTTCCACCTTCTTTCCCATCCTTGCGAATACACATCATTCTTTCCATTTCGTCATGATCTTCCCTCATCTCTCATGAGTGCCAATTTCAAATAACACCGAAGAAATAAGCATTTTTAATGGGAATTTCTCACTGATCCCAGCGCGGAGGTAGGTGCTAATTTGCCAAGAAATCTCAGGGTTTCACCGCCCTCATCCATTTCTAACACGAGCTTCAAATTTTACGAAAGCTTCAGAGCAATCTAAGGGAAAGACTTTAGTTATTCTGCTTCAAAGCATGTATTGTTGCACATTAATGGGAAAAACCTTTGTATGAAAGCTTTAAGTTTTCTCTTCCTTATTCAGTTAGCATGTGCTCTCTTTTTTAAATACCGATTTTCGTGCCTAAATGTCTTTCCCGGAAAATTGAACTTTTTTTCACAGATAGGAGTTCTTCGTCTTTAAAGACTAGGTCAATCGGAAAGTATTATCCGCTCGGGTGTATCACCCATGACCTGACAGCGAGGAACGGGATCACAAATTAACAACTTGACAAAAGCTTGCAATACAAATACGCAAATATGTTTTGAATTCGCTCTCCCTCATTCGATTCATTGGCCTCGTCGATGAAAACAGTTCTTAGTCGTTCCATTTTTTCCTCGGTGCGAATCTTCACGCAGCGAAGCCCAGAAATATTGTTAAGGGTTTGCCCGACAGTAGATTTGCGATATTTAATCACGGTGTCACAGTAGTCAAGTGCCCCTTTCTATAGTAAGACATCTTATTAGAATATATGCACACCGGCACTGCTTATGGAAACATGACATGCAGTGATTACCATGGTTGAATTCTGTTCTACGATTTTTATCTCGCGTGCAACAGCCAACTTTCAACATGCATTGAAAATCATGTCAAGAGTGTTAAACTTGAAATGTGAAGCCTCAATGAATTTTTATTTTATTTTATTTATTTATTTTTTCTTGCAGCAGCCGCTGAGACTCCATTGAGAAAGTGCACATGAGTACGACATACTCTCAATAATAAAAAAATTTGGAAAATTCATCTCGCACTTCTGGCATCGAATGGTATTGAAAGCATTATGAAAACTTGGCAAACTATTTGACACCACCCACTATAGCCACAACTATTAATGAAAATCTCACATTGTAGGGTACCGTTACTTCTGAAAATGCGAAAAAAAATCTGGGTAAGGAATAGAAAAGAGAGAATATGGGGAGATATCCTTACATCCTTTTCTGTCTCGCCTGTGGACGAGGTGCGGACAGAGCGCCGCAGCATGAAGCTGCAAGATCGCACGCTGTAACAACAATACCGTTTGGTAATCCCCTCGTCCTTCAGCTGAAGAGAGCTGATTTAGCGAAAGAACTTAGCGAAGAGATTCAAGTGCGGAAACAGCGTTGCTCAGCGGAAGGAAAGGACGAGGAACAACCTCAGGAATTCAGAAATCGTGTGGAGAGTGGAAAGGAAGGTGTGAATGAAAGAGGCTTCTTTTTTCCCCTCTTTTTTTGTAGGTCTATTGCGAGGAGGCAGGGGCCCGGGCTTTTGTCGCATGCCATCCAGGTTTCTCCTATTGAAAACAAGATCCCCCTTTGCCCCCCTGCAGGGCTCTGTGTTTTCCTAACCTCCCTGATGGATATCGCATCGCCTCTCTTTTTCCCTCTCTCAAACCCATCAACTCAAACGTTTCTGAGATTGGATAAGAGACGGAAGATGATGGGGGCAGAAGGCAAGCACATTCTCTCAGCCTTTACCGAATTCCGCTAACCATTAAAGAATGCGACGACAGTTGCAAGCCTCTAGTATGAAAATATATGCATTCAATTTATTCTGCAATTCATTTTACCACTCATCTCTGACCGATGGGGCTCACTAGGCGACGACTACAGTGAAGTTCGACGACAAATGAATAGGGTGAAGAGGCTAACGGAAAATGTCCATTTTATGAGAGCTTCATTATTTCTGGGGATGTGCAACGAAAAGCCTCATCTTGCTTCTGGATGAGCATTAGAAACTCAAAACTCGTCTACGTGAAGCGGTAGGCAATGAACCAAGCCTAGATTATGACTGGGAGATTCAGAGAAGGGGTTCGTGCAAACCTTTGATGGAGACTTCAATGCTAGTCCGTTTCTTGCGTTTCCGGCCTTGTTGAGCGATTTTGTCGATGGAGGTTGGGGACCCTGTCGTGGAATCGGCTTCCTCAAGCCACTTTTGCAGCAAAGGCTTCAACTTGCACATGTTCTTGAAGCTCAACTGCAAGGCTTCAAACCGACAAATCGTGGTCTGTGAGAACACGTTCCCGTAAAGGGTGCCGAGGGCCAAGCCCACGTCCGCTTGCGTGAAACCCAATTTGATGCGGCGTTGTTTGAACTGTTTGGCGAACACTTCCAAATCGTCCGAGGATGGTTGTTCCACGTCTTCGTGCTCGGGTCCCACTGCACCTTGGTGATGGGGGTCTCTCATGGGGGCGAATTCCCTGCTCAACATTCCACCTGGTCCTGGACCTGGACCCGACGGACTCATCAGCCCATTCATGGCATAGGCCGGATGTTGGGAGTACGGAGACGTGGAATGCCCCCAATGTGGAGGGGTCATCGCCTGATGGGTTCGCGGGAGTCCCATGTCACCGTGTTGAGGCTTGATGTCTTGGGGTATCCCCGGGTGGGCATGCATGGGTGCCCAGGGGCTCGGCTCGGCATGGGTGAGTCCCACCCAGGGATTCGCATGCATCGGATGCTGATTCTGAGGCGGCATGTACTTCATGTCTTCCCTCATACTCACACAATAACCTTGACTGTTGACTATGTTCATGGTGTCCGTCGGCGTGGAAGGGGTCCTCCCACCACCACCACCGCCACTGTCTTCGTCTGCACCAGCTCGGGGCTCGCCACTTTCTGCCCCTGCACCCATGTAAGTGGTCGTAGCCATGGCAGAGAGCCCCGCTGATTACACTTGCAAAAATCCTCCTCTATGCCTCCTCACTCCGCAGCCCGCTCTCTCTCTCTCCTCTCATGGGTTATGCATTAACGACACAGGGGCTTCTGCGCCCTCACCCACGCTCATTGGCTCCCGTCATCCTCATCAGGCCCCTCATTGGCTCCTCCCCTTCTGCGCGCTCGCTCCGGATCTGCACGGTGCACAGACACACTCACTCGCTCGCTCTCTCTCTTCCCGTCGTCCTTTTTGGAGAAGCCTTGCCTCCAGTGCACACGGAGATGGAGACTGGGACCGAGACCGAGACTGAGACTGGATGCAAAGAGGCATCTGAGACCGGGCGGAGTCACTCTCTACCTTCTCCCCTCTCTGTGATGGATAGCGCACTAAGGTGGCCTCCAGTCACGTCCTCCGTTTTATCGCTCCTTTATTCGCGATCCTTCTCATCCCTATGCAAACCTCATCCGAGCATACCCGGTTCGGCGGAGGAGGAAAAGCCGATGAAGTTAAAATGAGGAGATTGGGATTTAACGAAAGAGGAATGGACAGGATCAGAGGCTCGCGAATTCAAGAACCTCACCGAAAAGAAGGGGTCGGTCCACGTAAGACGTATTGTGAAGGTGAAAAGGAGGCACGGCTGAGAGGGCTGTCAGTCTCCGAGACGTCAGTCCCGTCTTTTTCTTTTTCCCTTCGAGTAAACACCAGGAGGGAATCTAACCGGGATCCCCACCTGCAAACCGAGAAGAGGAAAATTCCAGAGTGCAAAATTTTGCCAGTCATTCTCATTGACTCTAGGGTGAGAAATGTCGTGTGCGAAAAAAAGGCCGAAGCAGACAAAGTAGGCTGCACATCTGACCATATGGAAGACCGATGTGATATCCATGTAACCCATGAGTAAAAAAATGTGAGGGAAATGCTTCCACGGCATTCTTCTCCCTGCAAACACCTCAGGAGGCAAAGGTCTCGCATGCACTTAGCTGTGTCGGTGTGAAACCTTGACTTTGATTTTTATTCCACGCAAACGAGGAGGCAGACTTGGAACGGGATTGCGACGTTTTAAGGGGATAAGGAATAGTAAAGGGCGGGAGAGGGGAATGATCGGGAGAGAAGATTCATGCATGAATGCATGACGCGTACGATATTATGTGAGTATGATATCATAATCATGGATGAGGAAGGAAGGAAGGAAGGAAAGGGAGGAAATATGCAGGCCAGAATCATGTCTAGGCCAAGGTCGTGCATGAATGAATGAATGAATGAAACCAGCCAGAGCCAGGGCCCCTTGATAATTTGCAAGTCTAAACCAGAGTCTCCCATGAAATTCAATCAGATGCTCCTCACTTCCCATTCACGTATAACCTATTCCTCCGGATGTTAAAGCCCAGACGGCTCGATTGTGTCTCAATCTGGGAAAGGGGAAGCGATTAGGAGGTGGAACGGGGATCATGTAGAGGTGTAGTCGTTTCTTCGACTGCACGACTGAAAGAGCGGAAGGGCTGACGGACAGGTCCTGCCCTCTATGTTGTCTCGCGCGAACTGGAGAGGGCCCATCCCCAGCTTATACTCCTCCCCCTTCCCCTCTTTCTCTCATCAGTCACGGTCGGATACTTGCACACCAATGGAACCCTCTATACGCAAGAAATGACGTACTTGCGCAATGAATGCGAACACGACGCACAGCTAATCCTCATGAGCTCACGCCCATCACCCCGTTAAGTGCTGCGCACGGCGAGAAAAATCTCCGTCGATGTCGTCTTCGACTCGACTTCCGCAGGTTATCGACTGCTTAAAATATTCTCATGAATTCGAGTACACCAATGATGAATTCGAAAAGGCATAAAATCGATGCCCTTTCGACACGAGGCAGACGCAGCCCAGTGCGATCTCGGTGTTCTTCCATCCGTCCTCGTAACGAAGCCGTCCGTCGCGAAACGTTTCCGCTCGTCTCTAGGACGATCGTATGAACCATAAATGGGGATTCTGCGATGAGAATCCAGCGGTTTCGCACCTTCCGCACGCAATAACCGAATCACAGCTCCCTGATGTTCCTTGGGCGCCCCTCGAATTCGGTCACCTTTACCAGGTTACGGCGCATGTAACCTTCCGCAAGCAGTGATGCCGATTATATTTTAAACACAACTTCAGAGTGGCTGAGATTTCTCTACGATGCGGCTTTCGCACGATTTTTGGGGCGAGTTTTGCTGCTTTCGGTGGAACCTGGATGGATGGGATGGATGGGATGGATGGGATGGATGGGATGGATGGGATGGATGGGATGGATGGGATGGATGGGATGGATGGGATGGATGGGATGGATGGGATGGATGGGATGGATGGGATGGATGG